GGGAGAACATGAAGACTCCACACAGAAAGATCCTGGGCATCCTAACCTGAGGATCTTCTAGCTGCGAGGCGACGGTGCTAACCACTGAGCCACCGAAGCACAGAGTCTGAATGTCCAAATAGTCTGAACTGGACATTCTACTCATCTGCAGGAGCAAATATCTTTTGAAGCAAATGCAGTGTCTCCTGGTTTTTGCTCTTTTTTAATCAACATAACAAGGAAATACGTTCAGTGAATTCTTCTAATATTGTTCACTGACTACATATTTCATGTGTCTTCCTGCAGTACAATTTTTTTTTTATCCGTTTGACCATATCATAGAGGAATAATTTTGCATTTTGGCAATTATTTGCTTTCTGGCAGAAAGTTAGGTGTCCATCTGTTAAATATGAATCTCCAGCCATAGCTGGTTCAGCTTAGCTTAGCTTAGCATAAAGACTGGAAATGGGGAAACAGCTTGATTCACTCCACCTACCAGTACCTCTAAAGCTCACTAATTAGGTTTTCCAGTTTGTTTTTTTCACTCTAAGTAGTTGCCAGGCAACCAGCAGAGACTTCAGGACCTTACTGGTTGAATAACTTGTCACAGAACTACCTGTAAAATGTCAAATTGTTTTTTGTTTTTTTTCACTTTGGTTTTTTGCAAAGGTAAAACATACAGCATAAAATGCAGAACTGAAACCATAAACACGACACATCCTCTGTTGTTGTGAATCCTCTTACCACTGTGGTGGGATTACTATTTAACATCAGTACGTTAATGATTCACTTATCATTTCCTGTCACAGCTCCATTTTGTGTTACATTAATGCTGTTAATGTGCAATTGAAAAAAAGGCAAAGTAGATGTTTAAAATGTAAACACTCTGCTTGATAAGATTTGACAGTCTTGTAAAATTTGCTTCATAGATCACAAACACCTCAAGTGTATGATACACTCATGTGACATCTGCAAGAAGTTCAAACTGGCTGCAATGCCAGCCTGCTCTTTATTGTAGGAGCACAGTTGCTGTTGACTGGGAAGGAATCTGGCTTGAAGTTTGCAAAAATGAGGTTGAGCAAAAATATGTTCAAATACTGTTAGTTACTCTGAATGATGCTGATTCAGCGTCATCCAAAAGAACCTTTATTGCGACTGCTGTACGGGTACTTGGACAGTTGCAGTGGTTTTAACTCTGCTGTGTCTCCACAGATTCCTCAGATCAGCTATGCCTCGACGGCTCCAGAGCTCAGCGACAACACCCGCTATGACTTCTTCTCCCGTGTGGTTCCTCCAGACTCCTACCAGGCTCAGGCCATGCTGGACATCGTCACAGCCATGGGCTGGAACTATGTGTCCACACTTGCCTCCGAGGGAAACTACGGCGAGAGCGGCGTTGAGGCCTTTGTCCAGATCTCCAGAGAGTCAGGTAGGAAACCTTAAGCAAATACAGTCTGTTAATAGATCTTAAAGTGAGATCTGACGCTTTGTTTTACTTTGAAAATTAGCAGAGATTAATTCTATCATGACACGATAAAATCAGTAGAGCAAAATAGGACGGGCAGGATGATAAGCCACTTGGCTTTTATGCTGCCGCTTGATAAATTTGCTGTACTGTGTCTCGGCGTGTGTTGATGAGTGAGCAGGGGGGAGAGGTCTTGTAATTGACTCTTGATGTAATTACATTAGAAGTCGACAGTGTTTTCTCCTCGGCTGGTCACTGTGAGGTAATCAGACCCAGCTCTAACTGATTAAAATGTTATCACACCCAGACGAGCCCCGACATTAATTAGATTGTAAGAGGCGTGTTAAATTAATTAATTAATCAGCGGTCACATGTATGTTGGAGATCATTGTCTGTGTGTGTGTGTGTGTGTGTGTGTG